TTACATTGATAAATACTCTATTGATCAAGAATAGAGATATTCTATATGATACAAAAACAAAACAAATCATGACTTTTACCATGTCTAAATCAGCATTACGACGAAAGAACATTTTACAAGGGAAACAGCAGATGGCGTCATAGTTAGTGGAAGCTTTATTCGAGTTACAAACTTGACAGACGCGAGATAACTTCGTTTTTGAAGTGGCTTCATCAAGTTCATTGTACATAATTGTTGACAGATCGAATCTAAACAAGATCAATGTAATTTAAAAATCTTTTTATGTTAATCTACATTTTCTTGTAAGTCATGTCTATTTGCATGGGATGAAAGGGTACAGACGCAAGTGTGTCGTGCGAATATTAGGTCGTTCTTTTTTACTTTCTTTTTTTCCTCTTTAGATTTTTTCTTCCTATCGTCGGAGAATAAGCCGAGAACGTTTCTCATCATAAACATCTGTCATAATTACACGAGAGGTTAAAATAAGAATCCTATGTTTTACATACTTTCTCCTGATAATGAACTCTGTTGTCGACAGACTAATGAAAAAAATGTCTGCAAAGTTCTGAATTCTTTCTCTCGTTCTTTCTTTCTCTAGTCAAAAAAGAAAATTGCGTTACAAAAACAGCTAATAATCAAAGAAAGAGAACGAGAAAAAAAACCTACTAAATCCCGTTTTTCTTACAGATTTGATGTGATGAATTTTGATGAAATTTTCTATCGATACATACGAGATCTCTAAATATCAGTTTAAATGGTATTAGCATAGAAGATCTGATCTGAAATAGGACTAAACCAATCTTCCGATCAACTTGAATGAATAGCCAAAACATTGATGTTCATACTTGAACTCTTTTCCTGTTATAGAAGTAAAATAACTTTGTTCTCAGATCATTACTTGTGTGCTGTCATCATTCATCGCTTTGCGAAGCATGCACTACTTGATCGACTTGCTACGACAGAAAAGGTAAAAAGTACGTTCATAAATAATTCAATTCCATATGGTATTCTATATTTTGTGTTAATTAAATTAATTGGGATTCATGCTTTTGAGATGAAGAAGTTTCCATCGCATGCTCAGATTGTTACTATCTTCATCGAGATAGGATGAATCGAATGAGTAATTCACCTGTACTTCGTCCGGGTAATTGAAAAATATTCTGTAAAAGAAAAATATCAAACATAAATTCGATATGAACATTAAGCAAAATGAATTGTAGAATATAAAATCAGAATTATAACTATCTGTTATTTCGATAGAAATAATTCGGTTGCTCTGCACCTATGTTCGACTTATTCTAATGATTTTAAATTCTCTTTCTTTCAACTGAGGGAAGATCAAACAAAAATTAGGGGCGAATGTTCCTTATTTTGCTTCAGTCTTAATTACAAGGTCTCTATGGAAAAGAAAAGAACGTATTTTTTTTTTCATTAACATTGCTGGATGATCGTAGATCAATTTCATTATCGAATCGAATATCTGTATGTGTTTTTGAACCAATCACAAAATGATATCGCCGTTTATCTGTTGTCTTTGAAGAGTTTTTGAGATTTTTCGTGCTTCTATCGACTTTGAATTATTTCTGTTCTTTGATGCAATGAAAACATTTGACGAATATTGTGTAAGTAGCCGTGATTGATGATAAACATAATGATAGAGGTCACTCATCGATGAGCATATCGTCTTACAAGAACTCTTTTTTGCTTTCAGTATTTTCATCTAGTCATGTAAGACATCAAAGGAAGGTCTGATATTGATTAATGTATACATCCTTTCTTATCTATTCAACAGATGTGCTACATCGAGTCCTTATCATTCATTCATATTTAGTCAAATCTTTGAGAGTTATTGAATTGCATTTCTCTTCGGGTAATGAATCGAGTTAATGAACAATATTACTTAGCACAAAGAGGAACCATTCGTGTTCATCTAAATTGGGAACGAAAGAAAAGTTGTAAGGATCTCAACAACTGATCTGACATCGAATTTCATCATCATTGTTCTCAAACGAATATTTCAACATTAGCGATACATTGTGAACAAATGTGAAATAATTTTAGAGTTCAATATATGTAATTTCTTGATCAATGGTAATTCATGTCGATAAGACCTGTTGATCAATGGCTTAGTGAACCATTCTTGTTGATGATTGCAAACGCTTAAAGAATTCTGTCAACATTGCTACCCATATTGATGTTCTTGTTACAAGTATCTGGTTATTTGCTTGAATTTTACTAAATACATGCCCAAATGTTTGCACACGCAAAGTCTACATCACACACAATTTCTCTTCAAATATCACGGCATTCAATACTTTACAGGTACTCGAGGGAGTACTTGGAAATTAGACGAAGAAGTAAAAAGTAGTTCTTGCACTACCTGGAATTTTGCTTAATAAGTTCCCATCTTAGCGATCGAAATACCTACAAAAACAGAAGTTCATAAAACTGCAATATATTATTCCCAGAACGTAGAGAAGAGGCCGAGGAAGCTGGACTTCTTCCCCTATTAGCAAAAAAAAATTTAGTGTAGAAGAATGGAGAAAAGATTTTCGCACAAACAAAAGAATCATTTTTCTTCACGATGGTCCCTCTCCCTTTGGAACCTGGATCATTTCTTTAATAAAACTTTGCTTATGAGTCTAATTATTTCTGACAAGTTCTTTCGAGATTGCACTGCAATGAACAAAACTCAAGTATTTCATTAATTGCGTCATATTTATAAAATAGTCCGAGAAGAAGAAACATTTCGCTTGTCTTGCTAAAGGTAGTTCAGAAAAAAAACTGAGCACCTCAATTTTGCAAGCAAACAAAACAAAATGCTATCGATCATGTGACTTATAACCTTTCAACTGGTTTCTCAACAAATTTTAGCAATGTATAATCAAGTTCATAAATGTATGACTGACGGACTTTCTACGCTCAATCTATTCTCTAAAAAACAAGGCGTCATACTAAACTTTTTCAGTTCGAGATTATTTTGGAGAGAATTTCGAAAACTTCAAAAAACAGTATTGAAATCTAGAACCATACAAGGTTCAATAGGATACCTTACTTTTTAGAGATCAAGGCTTTGCATCGTGTCCTGCGAGATCAATACTTTTCCTCACAAGAAGATCTAGGTGTGTGTAGGATGGATCGTTTTTTAGATACATTCATACTCGAAACTAACAGCCAATCACGTCCATACCCACACTAGTACATCTTTTAGTTCAAACAAATGGAACTTTAACTAACATTGATGTCTGTTTCTGATATAAATAGTTCAATTATATAACACGTTTGCAAGATTCTTTCGAATGTTACACAGAAACTTGGATTGATAGTGAATGTTTATTTCCAAAAGAATTATAAAATTATTACAAATTCAATGGTTCTAGAACAAACTATGGATTGGAGGGGAGGGCTGACACCATCGGCTTCAAATATTGCTACCTCAAATCCAAACGTGTGTATGAATCCATTGTTGAATTAAAAACCGATTATGCGTTCAACATGACTACGATTAAACAATTTGACAACAACATGAACAAGTCTCAACTATAATCTTAGGAACTCTAAGCATTTTACAAAGAGGATGACTCAAACGACTGACACACGACCTCACTGGAAGAGTTACAAAGATTGACTCATACCATTCGAATTCAGGAGCTCTAAAAAGTGTATTTCACTTTGTCGTCCTGAATTCTCTAGATTTCAAAACTTTCAAGTGCATACAATAACGATGTGGATATTGCAAACACTGAATTTCACTTGGCTCTCTTGAATTTCCATTTTCTAGACGGTGGATATGTCTCACATTGTAGGAAAAAATTTTTGTTTGCAAGTTAGTAGATTGCACATTTAGAAGCATTTTGTAGACAAATGCTAAAAAATCATAAAGTACACTGAGATACTAAAGCATCCAAAGGTCACTGTAACATACTGGTAGCAGGGTATCCTGAACTTACCACATTATCTAGGATATGTTGCTGAAGCAGAAAAATTTATTAATTACCAGGAGTGCCTCCAGGCTAACAGGATTCGGGAATCGAACACTCGAGAGACGGATTAAAAACTTTTTACTGAAGCTGATCGAATTTTGAGAAAGTTGAGTATTGTTATTTTGGGAAATTGATGAATAAAAGAAACAACAAAATGATGCAACTCCGCTGGAAAAAAATGAAAATTTTTCAAGATTAAGGGTTAACCCCTCAACCGATCGCACTGAGCATTGTTTTCACCGACCAAGTGGACATGTTATTGTTTAACTTAGAAAGACATTATTTTCTGCTCAATATTGTTTTTTCACCTCTCAAATGTCAATATAATCTGAAAAAGTCAAATGCAAAAACTTTTTTTTTTAATAAAAAGATTAATACACCATACATCATTCGATGTAGTTTTCGATGCAAACACATATTTCCGTAAAAGCATTCGCTATTAAAGAAGAATGACTTTTTTTCGAACTCCAAGTAAATAAAAGAAAAAGCTTCTTTTTTTTTTAAGAATCGATAGTTTTTTTGTTCATAGTAAAAATGGCTCTTAATTCTTACTAATGACATTTTCCGCCTAATGTTAACAAGAGGAACAAAGACTTTTATGTCATTAGATAATCCATATGTCAGAGTATATACTATCCTATTTAAATCATTGAAAAGTATACTTTTAATTTTCCACCTAACGCGTTCGTCCCGGTGTCCACAGTGCCCTACTCGAAACACCCCCCATTAATTAGTCTTCATTCTTTGATGTAACTAGATCAAACTATTTTATATTTAGGCAATCTCAATCAATTAAAAGCATCTCGATTATACTTGAATAGTCAATCTTAGCATAGATGTCACTAGTTATCGCTTTATTTATTTTTTCTTCATTTCAAATAAACCAATCCTATTGCATACATTGTATAGAGGTTCTCGATGTCATTCTGTAATGGTAAAATAGAAGCGCATATATAGAGTACATGTGTTTAAATTTCTAAATTAATATATATATATATATATTGTTTCTTTTTTTAGATGGCTTCAGCGGTGAATAACACCGCAACAATCGATGATGATATAACATCTAATACATGTAAACGACGTCGTTCATCAATAATATCTTCAAATGATACATTAATTGAACAATCGCCGTTAAAGCGTATTCGTTCATCATCACCAACAAATCTTCAAACAATGTTTTCATGTTTAAATGATATTGTTCAATCACATCGTATTTTAGTACGTGAATATATTGATTTACAAATGCGTGATCGTACTGATTTATCAATTGATGAACAACGTTTTATAAAAGCTGAACAAGATCTTATTGAAAAAGTTGAAAAAAATTTACAAGATATAAATACATCATTAACATTAAAACAATTACCAAATAAATTATCTGTTGATCGTGTTAAACATGAAAGTAATGTATTAAAACGTATTGATGAATTAAAAACAAATGGTAAATGGTCAAATCAACGTTTAGTTAAATATATTGAACCAAAAAAACGTAAAACACATTGGGATTATTTACTTGATGAAATGCGTTGGTTAGCTGAAGATTTTGCACATGAAAAACGTTGGAAACAAATGATGGCTAAAAAACTTTCATTAGCTATATTAAAATATTTTCGTGAAAAAAATCAAGCTGAAAATCAACAACAACGTGATGAAATAAAACGTTTACGTAAACAAGCTTTATTTGTATGTAAAGAAGTAATGAGTTTTTGGAAAAATATGCATAAAATAGCTGAATATAAAGAACAAACACGAATACAAGAATTACGTAAACATCAATTAGATTTACATTTAAATTTTATTGTTGATCAAACAGAAAAATATTCAGATTGGCTTATTAAATCATTAAAAACAGAAACAAATAATAATGATAATGATGATGAAGATTTTAATATAACAGAAGATATGAATGGTGATGATAATGAAGAAACAATTGAACGTGAAGAACAAGAGGAACAAGATGATTATGCTATTAATGAAATAAAAGAATTAGAAGCTGATAAAGAAGAATCTATTGATGCATTATTAAAACGTTATTATGGTATTGATTTATCAAATTCATCAAGTGAAAAAGAAAATAATATACCTATTGAAATAAAACAAAATGATAATGAAAAAAATAATTTATCTGAAGAAGAAGAAGAAGAAGAAGAAGTAGAAGACGAAGAAGAAGAAGAAAATGATGATGAAGAAGAATTAGCAAATGATTTAATAAAAAATAAAGAAATGAATGATTTAGCAACAACAGCACAAGCACTTCAACCAACAGGTTTTACACTTAATACAACAGAAGTTAAAACACCGGTGCCATTTTTAATTAAACATTCATTAAGAGAATATCAACATGTTGGTTTAGATTGGCTTGTCACATTATATGAAAATAAACTTAATTGTATATTAGCTGATGAAATGGGTTTAGGTAAATAAAAATCGAAGACAAAACTTTCATAAGAATTATTAAAAAAAAAAAATGTTTTTAAACATTAGAATATAAATATAATTTACGATTCAGTTGGATACATCAACTTTTTATCCTAATGTTATCACAATATTCATAAAAAAAAAATATTATGATGCTATATTGAAAAGAATTTTTTTTAAAGTTTCTGAAAATTTTAAGCCAAAAATTTGAAAGTTTAATTTCATTGAACAATCGAAGATATTGCAATAAAGTTATGATAAAAAAAGTTGATATGTCAGTCAAATCATAACTTGTTCACATATCCACTTAAGTTTGTTTCTAGTATATAGATGTGTTATTTCTAGATAAAATTTAATCTTATAAACTATTTTCTTATAAGATTCAGTAACTTTTAAAAATCCAGTATTTATTCTAATATCAAGCAAAAAAAGAATGAAGTTAAAGATTCACGAGAAACCAGCAGACAGAAGTAATTCATCATGCTGAGTTGTTTTTTTTTTTTGGTTCGAACTAATCTGACACCGTTATCTCAATATGTCAGAAATGTCGACTCCGTCAAGCTGATTATGGAAATTCAGAAATATTGAGATAACAATACCAGATCATTTCGAATTGAAAAAAACAAACAACTCAGTATGATGAATTACTTCTCTCTACATGACTTTTTGGGTGATCACAGTTTAATTGACTGAGATCGAAAGTCTTATAACTCTCGAATGGAACAAAAAACGAATGTTAGCCTTGCGTAGATCGAAAGAAAAATAACTTCAGAATATCGTTTTGTGAAAATCTCATCTGATTTGCCATTACGGACCAATCAAATTTCGATATACATTCTGAAGTAGTGAAAGTCATAGATTTCTATGATGCTCCTATCAAAAGTTATTACAAAAATAAAACCAATCAGTGCCACACATTATATTTCGAAATGGATAGTACATCTATGATGGTCTTTGATTAGCATATACCATAACCTGTGAGTAGGGGAGGGATTTCAAATTTTTATCTCTACGTTTCAACATTCGTTTTATAGATCGTATTTTTATAAAAAGTGTACATTATCATATTCTTTTAGGTAAAACAATCCAAACAATTGCTTTACTTGCTCATTTAGCATGTGAAAAAGGTATTTATAGTTAATTATTTTTTTTCTCTCTTTAATTAAAATTTGATTTTCTTTACAGGTGTTTGGGGTCCACATTTAATTGTTGTTCCAACAAGTGTTATGCTTAATTGGGAATTAGAATTTAAAAAATGGTGTCCATCATTTAAAATTTTAACTTATTATGGTTCTGTTAAAGAACGTCAATTAAAACGTCAAGGTTGGACAAAAGTTAATGCATTTCATATTTGTATAACATCATATAAACTTGTTTTACAAGATGCTAAAGCATTTCGTCGTAAAAAATGGAAATATTTAATCTTAGATGAAGCACAAAATATAAAAAATTTTAAATCACAACGTTGGCAAACATTATTAAATTTTCATTCACAACGTCGTTTATTATTAACAGGTACACCATTACAAAATTCATTAATGGAATTATGGTCATTAATGCATTTTTTAATGCCAAATTTATTTTCATCACATCAAGAATTTCGTGAATGGTTTTCAAATCCATTAACAGAAATGATTGAACAAGGACAAATGAATTCAAATGATTTATTAATTAAACGTTTACATAAAGTTTTACGTCCATTTATATTACGTCGTTTAAAAATTGATGTTGAAAAACAAATGCCAAAAAAACATGAACATGTTATTATGTGTGATTTATCAAAACGACAACGACAATTATATGATGATTTTATACAATGTAAAACAACACGTGATGTTATACAACAAGGACATTATATGTCTGTTATTAATATACTTATGCAATTAAGAAAAGTTTGTAATCATCCAGATTTATTTGAATCAAGACCAATTATATCACCATTTACAATACAAAAAAAAATAATTAATTATGAAATACCAAAATTAATTGATGAAATTTCTTTAAAATATCCATATTTAAATTTTAATTTACCACCAAATGATACATTTCTTTGTTTTCGTATTAAATTTACTTTACAAGCAACAAGAGATATGATATTTGATTCAATTAATCATATTGATGATAATAATAATAATAATAATAATCGACAAATTATACAATTAACTTCAGATATTATTGAACGATATAGAAATACTTCATTATGGTATCAAGCAAATACACAAACTAGAAGTATAAAAAAAAAAATAACATTATAATTTTATTACAATCATAAAAATTCTTTTTTCAAAATTTTTAGTTACACGTAATCGTCAATCAATAAAATTGATTACACCAGCAGATTTTATTGATGATGAATTTCAACCAGAAAATATTTTTGTAAGTTGAATACATCAATTTTTAGATATATTGTGAAATATCTAGGGATAGTCTGACTGCGGAATGCCACATCCCCGTAGAGATCGTCAGGTAGATATCAGCGCGGGGGGGCCAAACTCCGAAAATATTTTTAATTTCTTTCCGGTCCGGACTCGATATGCTTTAATCGTATGAGAAATTTATAGAATGCATTGATCACTGAATACAAAAAAAACCTATCTCGTATCTTTGACGCGACTATCCGATTAGAAAAGACGAACATATAGTGAGTACCAAAATTATTTAATAAGGTTTATGTTGAAATTTTTTTTCTGCTGGCGTAACTGTTGGAAAGAATTCAAATAGAGAAAATTGTTTTCAAAAGGAATATTATGAAGTCAAAATTATTATCATGTTTTCAAAAACAGGAATTCCAGAAAACTAGAAGACTAGATTTTTAGTATCTAGTAGGATATATATAAGTTCGTTCGGACTACGTAGAACGAACAAAATGAGATGTCTGCAACGTTTTTTGGCTGCGATACAGCAATTTTACTGAAGCGTCTGAATTGGATTTTTTTAAATTTCCTATAGAAAAATCATTTTTTGTCTATGTACCTTACTAAATACTAAAAAAGCTAGTCTTTTCGTTTTCTGGAATCTCTGTTTTTGAGAATCTAATAATAATTTTTACTTCATTATATTTCTTTTGGAAACAATTTTCTCTATTTGGATTCTTTCTAACGCTTACGGCAGCAAAAAAAATACAGCATAAATTCTATTGAATAATTTCGGTACTCATTGTAGGTGTTACAGTGATTTTTAACCGCAAAACGAAATCTATGTAGGCTAGTAGAGGAAGATTTTTTCTATCAAGTTCTATTGCGTGCCGTTAAGATTCTAATATAGGACGCTACCTTCGCCGGTACGTAAATCTGTCTCTGCTAACTTACGTATATTCCGTTTGCGAGTAAAAACCTTATAATTGACTTTCATTGAGATTATCAAAGTACGGTCCGAGAATTTTGCATTCAATAAGTTCTATTAAGCGGTCTCTATGTTATCCATATTAGAAAGATTTTATAATAGTTTGAAAATATTATTTTTTGCTAATGTTTTTAGTTTGAAATTTGTAAACAACGTCAACGTGAACGTTTATCTCGTTATGAATTACTTTGTCGTTTAAATACAGATCGTTGTCAATCTCGACCATTATATGGTTCAGATGTTTTAACACAAGTTGAATTAGCTATGCGTCCATGTAATAATCAAAGACGAACAACATTTAGTGGATATACATTATGTCATGATGTACATAAACAATTAAATACAATTAAAGATTATTTTTCAACAACAAATACACTTCAAAAATTAATTAAATCAAATAAAGATATATTAAATGATTTTCAAGATATATTAGATCGGTAAGTAAGACAAAACAAAGGAATTTATTATATTTATAAAAAAAAAATCTTTCTAGATTTATTATGTGTACAACAAAAGTAATTGCATCACCTATTGAATTATGTCAACTCAATGGTATTAATAGACGAGATAAAATTATTCAACAAAAACCATTAATAGAAGTATTATCATCAACAGATTTTCAAGTACTTTCATCAATTAATCAAATAAAACAAAATATGTTTTTACAATTTCCTGAACGACGTTTAATACAATATGATTGTGGTAAATTACAAACACTTGATATACTTTTATCACAATTAAAACGTGAAAAACATCGTTGTTTAATATTTACACAAATGACAAAAATGCTTGATATACTTGAATTATTTTTAAATTATCATGGTTATACATATGTACGATTAGATGGTACAACACAAATTGTACAAAGACAAATGTTAATGGAACGTTTTAATAGTGATGAAAAAATATTTGTTTTTATTTTATCAACACGTGCTGGTGGTATTGGTGTTAATTTAACAGGAGCTGATACAGTTATTTTTTATGATTCTGATTGGAATCCAACAATGGATGCACAAGCACAAGATCGTTGTCATAGAATTGGACAAACTAAAGATGTACATATTTATCGGTATGATATCAGAAAAAAAAAATTAAAATATAATTTTTAATCACTATGTGAAATGATTGTTTCTTCTTTTTTTTTTTTCTTATTCTAAATAGGCTTATAAGTAAAAATACAGTAGAAGAGAATATATTAAAAAAAGCTAATCAAAAACGTTTACTCGGTGATTTAACAATTGATGGTGGTAGTTTTGATGTAAATTATTTTAAAAAAAATAATATACGTGATTTATTTGATCAATCAACAACATTAGAAGATATTGTTCGTGAACGTAATGTTTATCAACAACAATTAGATATTAGTCGAGCAGCAACAACAACAACAACAACAACAACAATTAATACTAATCTTGATAATAATTTAACATTAACACAATATGAAGAAGCACTTGCATCAGTTGAAGATGAAACTGATCGACGTGCAGCTGATGAATTAAATAAAGAAGTTAAAAATGAATTAAATGAATTTAATGAAGATGAAACAAGTGATTTAAATGAAGATCAATTAATTGAAAAACAAAAACGACAAATGAATAAAATTGAAGAAGAATTAAAAACACTTGATGAACAAGTATGATCTTGTTTTTTTTTTTTTCAACAATATGACCTATAGATCACTAAACAATAATTCAATACCATTAGTGTGTTTGAATTAATTGAAATGATTTTTTTTTTCTTAGTGACGGAGGGTTCATTAAAGTTTTTATTCATAAGTAAATTATCAATTAGATATTATGTAGAAGTATTATTGACGCCAAAATATAAGGCTGATGACTATTCTTTCAATAACTTTTCATAGAGATCTACGGTTTTCACTGTTGAAAAAGAGGCGAATATTTTTTTTATTAAAATGAATCGAAATTTGATTAATCAGCTATTAATCAATCAAGAGAGTTCTTGGTGGAGATTTCAAAAACGATATTCTGAAGCCATTTCCCATTGAATTTTGACTTGTAATAGGACAATGCGATAAAGAAAATTGTTTTCTTTTGATCTACGCAAGACTCAGCTCTATGGCTTGTTTCATTGAGAAGTTAACGAGGTTTCTCAAGGCTCTCAAAATCAACCAAACAATCTCTAGCCAAGCTATCAGGGATTAGGACAGGCATAATCAACCATGCTGAGTCGAATAGTAACGTTTGTTTTCAGTTTTGAAGCTATCATGCAAGCATTTTCGCTATTGCCACCCACGAGACAAGCAAAAAAACAGGTGGAATTTCTGAAATGCTCACATAGCAGATTCAAAACTGGAAACAAATGTTACTACTCGACTCAGCACGATTGATTATGCTTGTCCTGATTCATGGTAGATTAGTTAGAGGTCGTTTGGTCGATTTCGGGATCCTGAGAAAATCTCAGTAACTTTCGAACAAAATAATTTATACAACTCGACTTTGCATAGATCGAAATAAAACAATTTTCTCTATCGAATAGTCATATTATAAGTTAATATTCAATGAAATATGGCTTCAAAATGTCATTTTCAAAGCCTTTGTCAAGAACTCACCTGATTGGTCAATAGCTGCCCGATCAAATGTTTGCCACTCAAGACTTTGCCTAATGAGAAGAGCTGTCATACATTATAACTTCTCTTTAAGTCAATCTATCGGCACCGGGGTGGTCTTGTTGACCTACATTTATAACTTAGTACAAATCTGCACACCGTAAACAATCGTAAATAGTGAGGAGAATCGATGACTGTTTGCTACAGAAACAAGATGCTGACAGATTAGGGCGAAATACGATGAAAATGAATATACTAATACGTCTTCTATTATCTTCTTTTTCTTTTCGTCTTATTTTAAGCTTCGACCTATTGAACGATATGCATTACGTTGTGTTGAAGCTTATCGTCAAGAATATCAATTAACACAAGTTGCTCCAAATACTCATCTTGATGCTGAACAAATTCGAAAAGATTGGCAATTATCACGTTTAAAATCTTTAAAAGAAGAAGAAGAACGACAATTAGAACAAGAAGATGATGAAATGATGTATACATATGCTTTAGATAAAGAACGACAAATTAAATATAGTTATACATATTCAGCTGCACAAAATAGTTTAATAGCAAATGAATTAGCACGACATGAAAAAAGTTCAGCTGCTATTGCTGCTAGTCAACCACCACCACCACCAACGGTTATTCTTCCACCTACACCTCCGCCTCTTCCTCTACCACCTCCTCCTTCTACTCCTCGTCCTGTTCTCATAAAACGTTCATCTCAAACTCCAACTGAAAATCTTCGACGACGTCGTATTCAACCTCCACCACTACCACTACCACCACCACCTCCTCCTCCTTCTCTTCCACCACCACCACCACCAGCATTAATTCAAAAACCATCTCGACTAATAAAACAACAAACAACATCTCATATAAATAATAATCGACATAATAGTAATGATGATTGTGTTGATTCAACAACACTTCTTGTTGCTGATGATTTTGATGATGATGATGATGATGATGATTTTGATAATAATAATCGTATATATTCATCAAAATCTAAAACAACATTATCAACAATAACAAGAAAACCAATTTCAAATTTATCATGTTTAACACAAAATTCATCAACAACATCAACATCAAATACAAATGGACAACAACAAATATGGATTGTTAATTCCTTAGATCAACAATCAGTTCTATCATTAATTAATTATATTAATCCAAATTCAACAAATAATTCTCGCTCAACAGGATCCATACTTTTAAGTAATAAATCAAATATAAATACATCACCAGTGACAAATCTTCTTACACAACAACAACCTCGTTCATCATCAACAGCTGGTACTGTTTATCAAATTCGTTCATCACAACAACAACAACAACAACAACAACAACAATCATCACAACAGCCTCAACAACAACAACAACAACAACAACAAAATGTTGTTTATCAAATACAAAATGGTCGTATATTTCAATCAACTAAAAAGACAACATAAATGAGAAAGAAAAAAAAACCATATTATTATTATTATTATTATTTATCAACTTTATTCCACTATCGCAGGCGATAATTCAACAGTGTATGTCTTTGTTTTTTTTTTCTCTTGGTGTTGTCTCCCATATGCATATAGTCATATAAAACAAAAAAAATTTGTTGTTCGTTTTTTTTTCTATATATGTGTGCGATTGTTTCCTGTCTCTCTCTCTCTCTCTCTTTTTCTTTTTTCTGTTCTCTTCTACTAATATGAAATATAAAAACCTATAAATTTAACAACGCACATATATCAAAGTTTATTTGTTGTTTTTGTTTTTTTCTTTTTTCGTCATTTCATTTATCTATCTGTGAGAAAAGACAAAAGTTTTTTTGTCTTTTGATTTATGATCTATTCTTTATTTCATATAATCTCGGATTGCCGAGTGTATTCAATGCTGTGGTTTTGTTGAATGAAGACACATCAGTAATAAACAACGAGATATTCGCAATGATAAAAAAAAAAAAAACAGAAATTATAATTCAATTATTGATTGGTTGTTTTCTTCTTCATGAGATGTCTTGAATGTTATTTTGGATTTCTAAAAGTAGATGTCGGTGAAACTAAGAAAATTTGACATGGATTCGGACCAATAACCTACTAATGAAGAGTTGTGGTGGTTTTTATGAAATTTGTGTAAAGAATACGACATTGCCGCAGAAGCTGAAACATTGAGTTTTGGCCTGAAATTTTTCTCTCTTAGAAGATTTAATAGACTTGAAAGTTTTAATGAGAATGAATATGTCTTTCTTGAGATGTTCGATTTCCAAAAAAAAACACAGCGCTTCACCGTAGGAAATTACAGTACGACAACGACATATTTGTTTTTTTTTTGGAACTTTTGGGACTATCAAATCTGTTTATAAACAAAATTTCAGGTTAAATCTTTTTGTTTTGGATTGATCGGAAATACTTTACTTCGATAAAACAACGGTTTGTATTGCCAGTTAAAAAATCTGATCACATTCGGATCGAATTATCACCATGAAAGCTAAACTAATGAGTTTCTGATGGCTAGTCTGTGTGACGTAATGATCATTTTACTGCATTTACAGTCTGTCGCAAGGCTAATATGAGGGAAATTAAATTAAGGTATTTTAACCTGAAATTTTGTCTATAGATAAATCCCACAGCCATTAGGAAGGAAGAATACTTCTACCTAGTGGCAGACTCAGTAACCCGATATCTTCTGTACAACTAATTCTAACTCGGGACAAATAGTCGTTAGTAAATTGTTCAAGCCATGACCATTAGTATGCTGTAGAAACTTCAATCTAAAAGAGTATTTTCTTCTTAAGATATTGCATATCCAAAAAACCATCATATGTCATAAGAGGCAGTCAGAAAATAGAGTGTCTTCAACATTTAATACATTCTATTAAACTGAAATTTTTGAATCATTCTAATGTTCATGAGATTTCTCTATGGATAAAATTTCTTAACTTGAATTTCCCGGCATATGCCTTGCAAAAGATCGAAAACGATTATAACACGGCATAGACTAGCCATCAAAAGCTCATATTTCAAACTTATTAGTATAGCATTAAAGGTTAGTAACTCAACTCGAATATGATCAGGTTTTTTCATTGAAAGTACAAATTATTCCATCTTCAGTAAAAGTTTGATTAAAATAACTTTAACTATTCATCAGTAGGCCACCGACAGTTTGATATGTTTCCCTCATCAGATTAATTAAACATATTCACAATAAGTTTTATGTTGATCATTCGAAATTTCAATACATTGTCTAATAAAGATCTGAAAAACAAAATTGGATGTTTCCGCATGGAAAATCAATTATTGATAACAAGTTTCATATGTTCTATCATCCTGCAATCTTATAACAGTACTAGTAAAATACGTTCGGAACCAAAAGCTGAAACAAAAAAAAATGTTCGGATAAAATACCGTTAAAAGAAATTGCAGTAAATGCCTAATGATTCTAATATGTAGCCAAGCTACATTTGACTTCATTTTCTAAACATTTATTTTATTGATTCATGAGGGAACTACACGAATTGATACCCGCCGTTTATGTTCACAAGAAGATCTCGATAAAACTAGAAAAATTCTTTAAAAGTTCGTTCCTAATGGGTCTCTGGAGGCCGTGTTATGATCGTTCTACTGAATTTTGATCTGAAGTTCAACAACTCTGAGAAGAAAGTTTCAGCCGAAAAGAATGTTCCTTTGTCGAGATATTAAATTTTTCAAAAAATAATGGTTTGCTATAAAAATCAATTTTACTTAAAAATTCAATATCTTGACAAAGGAACATTCTTTTCGAATGAAAGTTTCTTCTCAGAGTCGTCAGATTTCAGATGAAAATTCAGTAAAACGATCATAACACGGCTGCACAAGCATCTTATAAGATTTTTCTAATCTTACCGAGATCTTCTCGTGAATTCAATATGAACTCAAGTATTTTACCAATATACATTCTCATTAGAATGAATCAATCAAATAAAAATTTTTATTAATTGTAAAAAAAAAAAGAAATTATTTTTATTCTTTATTTTCTTCATATTCAATTTTATTTTTCTGTTGAATATTCATTAATATACATTCTTCTTGTGATTTCGTATGTTCTGAAGATGATATATCTTCTATATGTGTATCATGATCTTCTTCTTCATAACATATAGGTAATTTTTGATTATGATTTATTATTATTTCTGATTGTATTAATTGATTTAATGTTTGTTGAGGTATTAAAATATTATTATCAGATTTTTCTGCTTGTTTTATTGTTTCTGGTAAAGCTAATTTTGTTCGTGTTTCAGGTAAAAATATTGCAAAAAATGCTGCAATTAATGAACATATACTAAATATAATATATGGTAATGGAAACCAAACAGATTGTGCTAATAATGATATTTGTGGTGCCCATACACCACCAAGTCTTGCAATACTAACTGTAAGACCAACACCAGTTGAACGTATAACAGTTGGATATGTTTCTGATGTATATATCCATGATAATGCTTGTGATGCTGATATAAATAATTTAGCTGATAATGCTGATAATAAACTAATTAATGGATATTGTTTATGTATTATTGGTATTATTAATATTGATAAAGAACATAAAGTAAAAAAACTTATTAATGGAATTTTTCTATCAAATTTTGTTGCACAAAAATGACATAAACAAAGACCAAATAATTCAGCAACAATTGAAAAAAGAAATATTTCATATGGACGATCATTTGTTAATGTTGTTATACCCATACCAATACCAAGATAGACCATTAAATTTGTCATCATTATATAAAATATAATTAAACAACGTTGACGCATAACAGATGATTTAAATAAACTAGTTAAAACATGTATATATGAATAACGTTTTGGACGTTTACGAGCATCACGTTGTAAATCATCATAAAGTTTTTTTTCTGAATTAGCTAATGTATGACGATTTATATAAGCTATACGATGAAGAACTTTTCGAGCTTGTAATAATTGTCCTGTTGATACAAGCCAACGAGCTGATTCAGGTACACACCAATAATAACATAAAAATGGCATTACATATATTGTTAATATCCACATTGTTAATGACCAATCACGTGTATAATAATAGATAAGCATTATAAATAATTCACCTAATATGAATAGAAAATTTCATAGAAGATGTTGGTTTTTGTTTTTTTGTTTTTTTTTTGCAAAGAATTTTTTTATCATACCTGATGTATAGAAATATGAAAGAATATTACTAGCTAATACTCGTTTTGTAGCTGATGTCATTTCTAAAAGTAAAACTAATGTTATTGAATAAGTTGTTTGTGCAAAACCAGTTAAAAATCGACTTATTGTAAAAATAATTAATTTTTTATCATTAGAAAGTTTTGAATGCATAATCATTTGTGTTGAATTAAGTACAATAACTAAAATTAATATAAGTAAATACATTGTTGTTCGTCGTCCTAATTTATCAGACATAATACCAGTTAAAAATGATCCACTTGTACCTATAATATAAGCATTTTGTGTTATACCTTTTAAATGAAGACGATCACAAACAAGATTCCATTCTGTTGATATTGTTGTATTATAAAATGTATTATCAAATACCCATTTTGAACATGGTATTAAATTTTTATTTATAGATTTTAAATAACATTTTCGATCTTTTAATGATAATGGAATATATTGATTAATATAATTTTCATGTTCATTTGATTGTATTTGAAATGTATCAGTAAAATTTATTAATGGTAAATGACAACGATGATCAGGTGTTGCAGCTATAAATACATAATTAAATGCTGTCATAGCTGGTAATATAGCAAGAAGACCAACAAGAAAAAATTGAATTTTTTGATATAAACCAAATGAACCAGCATCATTTAATAATTGATCAATTGTACTTATTGTTGATGGTACATTTGATTGTTCTTGAAGTTGTATTCTTTGAAGTAGTTCAACAAGTGAACGTGCACGACTACGAGTTCTTTTTGGCTTCGGCATAGATTCGTTTTTTTTTTCTGTTTTGTCTATCAATAAAAATCTTTAATTTATGTTTTATGGTACAAAAAAAAAAACATTCAACATTTCTTTTTTTTTTTTACAATGATTTTAAATAGCAATTATTCGATAATAAACTTTGTCAATGTTACGGATCATTCGAATATCAATTACGATATATGAGTGTTGTTGTTTTTTTTTATAACTTTATATTTAAAACAATTGATGATTTATGGCAAATAGTTTTATTCATTAATAAATAAATTACTTTAAAAATAGAAGTTATTGAATGTTTATCGTTATTCTACAAAATCAATTTTAATTCATAGTTTATTGAGCAAAAACAAAACAAAATATACTATAAAATGCAGAATGAAAAATTCTACAATACAAAGCTTATTTTTTTATATACACTTTTCGCGACGAATTCTTTTTCTTATATTTTCGATTAAAGAGTCATATCGATAGACGATAGTCAATGGTCGATTTAAATCTTATTGATATGTGTTTTCAGGAGCTTCTAAAAATGTTTCTTTAAGTTTTCAATTATATTTAAGCTTAATGAAAGATTATTACATAAGAATTATATTGAAGTTGTTCTTTCATATACACAAACTGACAATCAATGCTACACTGCATACATATCAGAAATCATTTGTATAGTGTGAAGAGAATTTCATGCATTTTATAAACAATCACAGATGACTACTTAAACAGTTCCGATCCAGTGTTTTGAATTATTATGTGTGAGACACTATCTTGAATAATATGTAATAGAATAAAGTTAAGGACTTTGATTCATTAATTAATTGATTAAATAAGAAATGGAATTCGTCGTGTATTACAACAAAAAACGATCTTGTTCACAGCATCGAAAATTAGTCAAACAGAATTTTGTCTATTTTGAAAATTAAAGATGCATATATATATAAAATAAGCTTTGTATTATAGAGCTTTGCATGTTGCATCTTGACGTATATTTTGTTTTTTTTATAAAATGTATTAGACACTGCAAAACTCAAATGTAAAGTATGACCATTCATTATGACTCACCCATTATAAGCTAAGATCTCTAATCATTAATGAGTTATCTTTGAAGATCAATGTTTGAGAGAAGTGTTAACATTCAATGACAACAATATTCTAAACGAATCTATTGTTCATCCAATGAGACACGTAGAAAAAGATAGTTTCAAAATGATTACGATTAATATCTAGCAAACTCTACTTTCGAAATAAAACATTTGTGCAAAAACGTTTAACAATTTATATTGTATTCTTATAAAACTTATCAATATTGGATTGTTTAACACATATCCACAAGGTACTGTTAATGGTTGTTTATTTCAGATCACCTATCCGATAGCATGCTGACTATAATGTGACATACACCTACTCTTGCAGGTAGTTAGTGTGTATGAAGAGCTCAAGAACTCTGTATCACACCGACCTTCTGTTCAGAACTACAGCTAGTATTAGTTGTACGGAAGATGTCGGACTATTGAATTTGCCGAAAAGTAGGGATATCCTTCCAATGCTCGCTTTCTCTAGGAATTATAATAGTTCCGTTGACAGTTCATCGACAATTTAGAAATTTCTATTTCTCAGTTTTTGAACATTACGATGGTTTCGTACATTTATAAATTCAATCAAGTATGAACAGTTGATGATAATAATTATTAGTAATTTGCTGAATTCTGTAGTCGTTATAATAAACTTCAAATTTTTATGTTATTTTTCATTTATAAAAAATAAAATATAATTTTTCAAACAATTTTCTAAAGACTGCATAAATGAGATATAATACAGTCGCTGGAAGTAGGTACATTCCAGCTAAATAAAAAGCCAAGGCTTTCTATTCTGGGAACGGACGGTACTAGTGTATACATTTATTCATATTTGTGGTTTCTTTGTTTCTTATACTTTTTCTCGCACTCTTTTCGTTGTGATCGTTACTAATCATCTTCTCATTAGTTACAATTCTTATATTCGTTATTATAATTCATTTTTCGTTACACGTCTGAACTTTATCACTCATATTCTTCTCATTAACTCTTTCTTCATCGTACGCATCTTTATTTTACTATAAAACTTCTTTTTTGACTGTTACCTTCAGTCAACTACTTCTTCAGCTATTCATACTATTTTTGTTCGTCCTATATTTTTTGCTATTTATCATTTAATAAAATATATCGATGAATCTTCATTCACCTTCATATCAATTTATCAACATTTTATTACATATTACCTTATAGTGACACCTAAAATCGAATCCTATTACATTTCCGAGAGATTAACACAAAAGTATGTCAATATTAGGATGAATATGTGAGATGTGTTAATCCAAAGAAACTTTTTTTTTTCAATTCGTGAAATAATTAATAAAATATAAAATTATTATGATGTATTTTCAACAGTGTAAACGATCCCATCAAATAGTTATTCAGTTTGATTCGCACTGTTCTGATCAAATTTCAGGACTCTAATTTTAAATGCAAAGAAAAGATAACAAATAATTTGATTCTTTGCAATTGAATTTTGTATCAAAGTTTTTTTTTTCATTACTTAGTCTTACGATTAATTCTTTTAACTTGTATTAAATATTAAGTTTCACTAATTAGTTAACATTATAATTTTCTCTAACGTATTTAATTGATGCTTAAATTTATGATTTGCTATTTTTAATATTTATTACACTAGTTGTAGAAAGAAAAACTATAAACATGTTCGAATCATTGTTGTTTACTATCAGTAGAAGAAAAAAAAATCCTTTATACTTACTTGATGTACCTATGTTATGAAATCAATTAAATTGATCAAAAACAACTCACTTAAACCTATAGTTATGGACGAAAGAAATCTCTTGAAATCTAATACTCTATTGTAGTTAAATATATGATTTTGACTTTGAATAGATCTTGTGAGAAAAGATTGTTAAATGTTAAACTTGTATATCATATTTCTTTATTAAAACAAAAAACAAAAAAAGGAAAAAGAAAACATTTTAAAGTATTATTCATAGTTAAATCTAACAGTTCAAAAAAAAAAAAGAACTAAATAATTAACATGATCAAGATCAAAATTTGGATTGTTATTGAACTTGAATAAAATTTGCTTTAAATATTTTCCATATGATTTAAATCTTTTCTTAATAAACTATAGTAATACAATAATTCAAGATAATCATAAAAAGATTCTATTCAGCATGTACAACAAGTAAACTAGAAACAAAAAAAATGCGGTTAACGAAATGATTCAGTAGTACGAGGAAATTTAATTTGCCAAAATGCTTCATTCATTGGTAAATAATTGAATGTACCTTGGTTAGATTACCATAATGGATTTTTGTATATTGTGCATTAAATAATTTATGTCTTTTACAAGATACTTAAATCATATTCAGAGAGTTCTTCAACCATAAAAATCTCAAGAGTCTTTTTTATTTTGATCCAAGAATTTTTCTTGTCAAACTTTATTTAATATTTCTCTGATTATATCTCAACGGCTAATGTCAAGAGAATAAACATGAATTAATGTTGATCCAGCATCTAAAAATAATGATCTGAATGATTTACTAAAATAAAAATATTACAATGTATAATTGAATTTTCGTATTAATTAATAACTGCATATCAGATAAAGAATAGATATGATATCTAACAGAAAATATTCTATATCATAATTAGTTTTAAGAAATATGAATTGATCATTAATTTAAATAAAAATAATTCATGATTAATTATGTGATGTTGAGCTTATTTAATTTATTTTAGATATTTATTATAATTTAATAGGAATTTTCTTTGAGACAATAGTTTTGTTTGTTTTTTTTGTCATGATTATTATCAAATGACTTTATTACATGTCAAACGTCCACTTGACAACATCAAAGAAGATTAAAGATAAGAATTAAATATGTCAACAATGAATTATTTATCATAGACAATTGAAATACCACTGACATAAAACTAAAACGACATCTATTGAAAAGAAATATTTTATTATTTAAGATACATTTTTTAATTATTTACATTCTTCATCCTGTTAGTTATTTTTAATAAAAATTTTTAATTAATTTTGTTGGTTTAAAACATTAGTTACACCCAATTATATATTTAGATCCTTTTATTCTTTCTTTATGTTGTTGTTGTTTTTTTTTCACATTTATACATAAGTTTATTTGTTTATTTATTTGTAAGATATCAAAAGATAAAAAAAAGAACATCAGAGGCTTAAGTTACTAACAAGGTTATTTTTGCTGTTGATGCAAAACATTTTTGACATATTTACACGTATGAATTTTTGGGATATTTTCATTTTTTTTATTTCGTATTTATCATATTAATAAAATTACCAAACAAAAAAAAATTATGTTTTCTCTAGTGTAATATATTTATTATTCATACCAATTCACAGTATGGATTTAGAATTTTCAACAAATATATTAGATACACCATCATTAATAACACCAAATATTAGTTTAAATCCACTTATATATAAAATTTCACATACACCTACAATAGTTGATGTAAACAACGAGGATAATCATGATTTAAGTACTAACCCACCTTCTATAATAACAACAACAATAACAAATAATGAATCATTATCTACATCGTCCAATGACATAAAATTATCGAAAATAGAAGATGACCTTAAACGAACTTTTACTCAGCCACGTAAACCAACTGAATCACTTTTTCAAAAAATGGCAAAAGCTGGAGTCTTGTCAATGGAAAACGTTTCTATACCTTCTAACATTGACGACGGTATACCTGTTGACGTACCATCTACAGCAGAGGTAAAATGAATCATCATATATGATTCATTTATTTTTTCTCATATTCATATTTAAGGTTATGAATGATCTAGAATCATTTTCCAAATATTCAACACAAGATAATATAGAACGCGAAACGGCGTCACTACTAACTAGTGATAATAATAATCATTTTGATACATCATCATCATCATCATTACATACTATGGGTGTTGTTGTTGCACCAAAAAAGAAATTACTTCAAAGAACTCAATCTCGTACTGAACCAACATCACCAACATCAATTACAAATAATCATTTTTCTCAATCACACAAAACTGATCTTAATGATATAAGTTCAATCGATGATGATCATCAATTATCTAATAATAATGATTTTCAACGTCTACATGATATGCCTCTATTAATACATACTATTGATTCACATCCACAATTAGATAATAATTTAAAACCACCTTATACAATACAATTAAAAACAGATCAAAATGGAGTACATCCAACAATTATTAAACAACAACCAATGACACCCACTAATAAACGAACATTTCAACAGACTATTGTTGGTAATTGAATTTAATTATCTTCTTTTCCATAGTATATTTCATTAGATTAATTTTTTTTTTCTATATTTAGGTGGATCAATACCAAAAGCTAATTCAATTCTTATTTCTCAACAACCAATTATAAATGAAGCTACATCAAGTAATCAATTATTAAATATAAAACGACAAAAAACGATTCCAATACAAACCAATACTCTAAATATAAATTCATCATTTCCATCATCATCATCAACAACAACAACACCAACAACACCACCATATGATAATAATAATAATGTTGGATCGGATGATCAACGTAAAAAACAAATACGTGATAGTAATCGTGAAGCAGCAAGACGTTGTCGTGAACGTCGTCGACATTATATTGAACAACTTGAAGGAAATTTAGAACAATGTAAACAACAAATCAAACAATTAAATGAAAAATTATCTCATGCTGAACGTGAAAATACACAATTACGTGCTATTTTAACTGAAACAAAAAGATTTCATTCAACATCATGTTTACCATCAAATGAATCAATGTTAGATTTTGTTAATGTTATAACAACGAATGGAATTGAAATTAATTCAGATTCAACTGATGGAAATATAATACCAAGAAATTATTTTCCTAGAAATACACATTAAATTTCATAATCGAAATATGAAATATTAATATCCAATAGTGTAGATGCAAATTCGAGAAAAAAAAAACGTAATGTATTATTAGACAAAAAAATATACAATGTGTTATTAACCGGTTACAATTTTTCTTTTGTTTACTTGTATATTTTATTTACGAAAAAAGAAAAATTCATTTTCTTATAGTGATGTTTTTTTCTTTAAAATATTTGCTTTTTTTTTTCTGTGTATTATTATACTATTATTGTATTTACATAAATATATTTAATTACTCTTATTATTCTTCATATTTCTGTAAAGATCAAAATCAAAATATCATTTTCGTTATCTTTATTTTTTCTTTCGTTTTTTTTTTTTTTTGTTCTATTTTCATCTTGATATATCTAGTGAGTATAGATTCCTATACAATGATAATTTTATTTATCTTTTATGCTCTTGGTTATTGAATTCTTGTATTTTTCGAATGCATTGTTTTGTGTGTGTGAAAACAATAAATAAATCTTTCGTTTTTTTTTTATTTTTTAGATTTAAATATGAGATTTATTTTTTTTATTGTTTTTATACGGACAATATTATCATCGCGATATCATGATGGTAAATTTGATTTATTTATTGCATATAAAATTTAAATATGTTTTCTTTTAAATTTTAGTTATAATTGGTTCCGATGATGACTGTTGGTCAACTGAAAAAGATAATACCATAGAAAAAAAATATGCTACTCTAGTAAAATTTTCACCTGAAATTGCTTATGGAAAAGATAATTGTTCCGTACATATAATCAGTCCATGGTTACCACATATGCAAAATGGATTTGGTTTATTTGTATCACGAGAAATGGATTGTTCATCAACTCTTATAGTTGATTGTCTTTCTGATACTACTTTAATTAATCGAGTAAATACCTTTTTTTTTTTTTCTTTTAGTTTATTTTTATTCTATATTTATGTATATAGACAAAATCATTACCAGTACAATTTACATGTCATACAAGTCAAAATAAAATTGAAATGCCTTGTAATTCAATAAGTTTAACTTTTAAAAGAAATATAAAAGTATCAGAAACGAAAAAGACGACACTCGTACAAGTTATTGCATTAGCTAAAAGTAATTGGTTTTTTTTTTGAAAAATTTAATTTCAAAAATTTTGTCTTCGCTTTTTAGAACCTTGTATTGATGATGATATATTTTTTCAATGTCCTACAGATTATCCTGACTCATGTATTGATAGAAAATTAAAATGTAATGGACGATCTGAATGTCCAAGTGGTGATGATGAACTTGATTGTCATCGTATGTATTTATTTCTAAAGCTTTCGACACATTAGAAGATCCGGGCGAGAGATTTTTTTATGTCTGTTTCGAAAAATATCATTTCCTATTAGTTAGTTCTCAAGATTTTTCTAACTCGGGACTGATACATCGTTATGATGGCGAAAGCAAAATCTTGCCGATACTGAACTTACGAGATAAGGATTATGTTGATTCCGAATATTAATATGATTTTTGCCGGTAGGTTTTCGAAGATACAATTATCGAGAAAATCAGATCTTTGAAAATCTAGCGGTAAAAGTTATGTTGATATTTGAAATTAACATGGTTGATTACTTATAATTCACTAGATTCCAACTAAAAGGCGATAGAACACTTGGTGATCTTTCCTCTTAAGAAAAAAAATCAATAAGTTGCAGAAATTATTCTAAAAAAAAAAAGCGATTTTCAAAGGGAGGTCTTCTAATGTACCGGTGATTTTTTTATTCATAATGATAAAGATTTTTATTTATTTAGGTTCACCTGCAAAGGGTATTTCAATAATTGTAATTTTTTTTATAATTTTGGCATTTTTATTTCTTATTTGTGTTTTATCAACAGGTAAAATAAAATAAAGATATATATATATATATTTTTTTTTTTATTGTTTTATAATTATTTCATTTATTTATTCAAGTTTTTATTTGTTGTTGTTGTCGAGCAGCATTTAATCGAATAATGAAACGTTTTCGTTCACAAAAAGAAAATAAATCTCATCAAAGTTAGTTATTATTTATAAATTTTATTTAATCTATCAAAAAATAATCAAAATTTTAGAAGTCAATGTTACAACAACTGGTGAAGATGCTATTTTAATAAAAGAACTTACAGCACCAACTGTTACTGTAGAAATTTTACCTCAGCAACAAATTGTATCTGCACCATTAATTATTGATTCAACTAAACCGATTTATCCACGTTTGGAATAAATCAAGTCAGATATGAAATCATTATAAACAAACATTATTATTTGTTGTAATTCAGTTGCTTATTGTCTTTTTTTTTTTTGTGTCAGATCTTTTTTTCCCTTCTTCAATCTAATCTCAGCTTAATGATTTAGACGTCCAGAAACATTCGAATTTCGCCGGAACTCATTAGAAGAATACGAGATAATCATTGTATTCCGATCTGAAAATTGATATGGATGTTGGAAGTAGACTGAATTGTCTTCGGATTTTTCTAACGGAATACTTCTTCTAAGTTTCATCAATTTTCTCATTGAAACGGATAGAGCCGACCATCGAATTTATGATTCTACGTTCTTACTATCTTCCGATTAGCTCCAGGCGAAAATCTATGAATTTGGATGTTTGCTATCGTTGATTTGAGTTGCTTAAAGCATTACTATATATATATATATGTTAAATGTTGTCATTAATTCACAAAGAAAATTTCTTTCCAATAAAATTAATGTGTACAATATCTTTAAAAAACAACAGATCTCTTCACATTTTTTCAGATGTTATCACTAATTAATATTTTGCTTCTAATGTTTTTGTCATGTTCATTTGCTAAAGTAACATACTGTAAGATAATATTTCTATCGCAAAAATAAGCGTAGAAAAATTTTTTTTTACTATCTTTTTAGTCAATCTTGAAAATACTTATGGACCATATTGTAATCCAAATAATAAATTTACACCAGATGCAGGAATAGTTCGTTATGCTGGGTATGTCAATAAGACAGTTAATTGTTTGTTTGTTTGTTTTTTAATACATTTGGTGTTTTTTTGTTTGTCTTGTCTAGAACACCATGGATTGGTAAATGTGTATTAAATATACAAAGTTGTTGTTTACCAGTTTATCAAAATGGATCATTAATACCTAATCTTGCTATATCAACAAGATTTTATGTTCATTTAGTTATGCAACCATTATGTTTAACAGAAAATGTAACTGTACGAACTGAATCCGGTAAAATGGTAATTTAATTTTTAAATTAAAATTTCTCTTCTTAATTAATTTTTGCTATTTTAGATAACAATTGATTGTAATACAAAAAATGGTAGTGAATATTATTTTGATACAGAACAATTAACAATTACATATGATCGAACAGAAAAATTACCATTATCAAAATTTTCAATGATTGTTACACCATTAAAATTAAAAACAAGTATTGTTATAAGACAAAAAAAAAAAAAATTTTTTTTTTAGTTTTATAGAATAAATATTTTTTTGTTTTTGAGGAACATATACAAAATGTGCCTTTGATTGTTTTACGGATATTTATTGTATCGATCAAAGTCTTATTTGTGATCGATATAAAAATTGTCCGAATAATGTCGATGAATCAAATTGTGAATATAGTAAGTGAATTAATATTTAAATGAAATACTAAATAATCTTCTAGGTCATCAACATGAACCATTATCATTTCGTTCAAAAGTTATTCTCTTTTTCGTTCTACTGGTAATCATCTCATCTACTATATCTTCAATATTAATTTGTTATTTTTGTTGTGGAGTTTCGAAAACTAATCATATTAATACTACAAATAAAGAACGAAGATCAAGTATAAAATTATTAATTAATAAATATTTTTTTTTTCTACAATTTTTTCTTTCTTTCTATATTTAGCTCATGGAGGAATAGAAGAAAGTGGTGCTGTAGTCACTCCACTTTTATATGCATAATTTTCTGCAATATTAATACATCTCATTTAATGATTAAAAATTTAATGTTTTTAATCTCATATATCTAGTCATTTTATTATATTGTTCAGATAAAATCATCTATTTATTTTTATGTTGTTTTTCCATTATTATGATTATTTTATTTATCTACGCATTCGTATAAATATTATTTGTATGTATTTTTTAAATGTTTAAAAAATATTTAAAAATAAAATCTATGTATTGTATTATTAGTATTGTCATGAAAAAATTTGCCTTCGTTTTTTGTATATTATCGTTAGAGAATTTATTTCTATACAAAATAATCTACTTTATTTTTCAAAAACAAATCTCTTGTTGGTATAAAATTAAGAAAATCAATATGTATTTAATCGTCGATCTGTAACAATTAGAAAGAAAAACTGATGGAAACTTTTTAACAAATATTTGATTGGAAGTTAAAAATATGTCACAATATATTCTACGAAAAAATCTGTATCTTTTCCAAAATATTTTATGTAGAAACATTTTGAAATAAAAAGTTTGAGAATACCGTAAAAAAGGTAGTTTTCATATGAATCGTGGCAATCTTTGTTTTTTCATTTCACTGCGGAGAATGATATGAAATTTATAATAGAAGACTGCAATCTTATGAAAAAACCCTTCGGTTAAATCCTTGTAACCTTTTTTTTCCATTAAAATATTACTCAATCGTGTTTCTTGGAGAAGAATAAAAGAGAAAATAATAGCTCATATATACATAATGAAAATGCATTTTCCTTGGAGGAGGAAAACAGCTATTATCGATTAAAGTGAAAATGAGAGAAAAACAGAGAGCTAAAAATAATTCGAGAAAGAAATCAACGATTAATATCAGCAGTAATATACATTTAGCAAATATATTAAATGTGTAGGAACAAGTTCATGAACTTCTTTGTAACGATAAAGATTCAAATTTTGATAATTGGTACAGTTCTAATGCTGATTCAAGTATTGAAATTACTTTCACTCTTGATGAATGTGAAAATGAATTAATACATTTATTGACATATGATCATTTGGAATCCGAAGACGATAATAAAGAAAAAGATGATTGAAAAAAAAAACTATGGACTGAAATTTGTTAAACATCATCAACAACAATAACAGCTCACGGAGGAACCTCTTCAGATGCCGTCTCTCTTTCAATTTCAATGATTTTGTTTGCCTATAGTTACTACATAGTGTTCTAATAAAAGCTCTAAATAAATTTGAGTTCCTATTGAGAACTGACTAAGCTATAGAATTTTTAATATATCTATTTTCTAGAAGCTCCACATTTTCAGAAAACTCGTATTTTCGAATTTTGCTCTGAAACTTTGCGCATATAGAGAATTCAACTAGACTAGCTTCCATAAAAAAAAATTCAAAAGTTTTCAACAAAGTCACTTCGAGATATAAGACTTTCAAGATATAGATCGTTTTCCATGGATAGTGTATATAACATGCATTTTTTTGCAAATTTCATATCTCGAAGAGACTTTGATCATAACTTTCGAAATTTTTCATGGAAGCTAATCTAGTTGAGTTGTCTATGTGCATCTGAGGCTCTGGAAGATAGACATATTAAAAATTCGGTAGCTTCGTTAAATATCAATAAGAACCGAAATCTCATTAGGATTTTTCTATTAGAACGCTATGTAGTATCTGTAGCCAATATATCATTGAAATTGGAAGAAAGCATCGAAAGAGATTTCTTCGTCAGTTTATGAAAAAGTGAAATTCAATTGTAGTTTGATTTTTTTTTATATATTTGAAACATAATCATTATGAATTAAATAAAATCTGATAATGATATTTGATCCTTTGTTGACAAGAATTCATATTAGAAGACTCGAGCTCTTTTATTGTGTATGGGAGGATGAAGATATTTTATTTAGAATTAAATTTTGCATTCGACAGCATGACAATTAATGTTTGACAGGATGAATATGGCTATCAAAAACATGGTTTTTGATAATGGAATCTTTTCTACTGAGTGACAATGTCAAGAACATTAAATTTGAGACTTTGTCCTTGACCAACGTGATAGAGACACAACCGACATTTTGTTCTTTCATTTCACTTCTCAATATGTAGTAGAAAAAAAAAGGAACAAAAGAAAATTTATGTAAAATAAAAGATGCTCATAGCAACGTAATTTTTGCATGTTTATTTTGACTTTTTTTTTTTACATATTGATTTGAATGAAATAAAACTTGCTACGAACTTGTTAGTTTTTGCTTAAAATAATGATCAAGTACAAATACAAATGAAATCTTTCAATTGTACTGATTGTTGATTAACAGGTGATTTTTCATCCACAGAAATTTTTTGTATTAATTTTAAGGATCAATAATATGGATTAAATTTTAGTTAATCATTTTGTTTTTAATTCTAAGTTTAACTCTATTTGATTGTCTTTTGAAAAACTTGTTTCAATATTATTAATTTTTAAAAATATTCATATAAATCTTATTTTAATTTCATAAGTTTAAAACTTCTTACTAAGTTACACATATGCATCAAGTCATTTATCTTTTATTATGAATATTAATATTTTTAGATTGAAAATGTCATTTTTTAATTTGACATTGATGGGTCATGATAATCGATTTAAATCGATGAAACGTCTTGAACCAACCAAAACAGATATTTGTTCGACTGAATTACGACAAGTTCCAACCGGACGTCAAGATAGAACTCCAGCCGAAAAACAATTAGCTCGTGAAGTGAATGGAAATATACAATCACGAGAATGGACATCACCAGCTATATCAAATTTGTAATTGTCTTTTTTTAATAAATCAAAAAAGGTTAATTTTGTTTGATTCTTAGAAATTATCATACATTACGCACAATGCATGTACGTGGTGATCAAACTCCTAATCATATTACACGACAACCATTGACAGCCGCTCAAGATAGTAATAATTAAAAAAATTTAAGTAATTTTACTAATTTATTTTTCAGTTGGTTGGTGGACTAAAGATGAACCGTTAAAAATCAATGAACCATGGACTTATGAAAAACATCATGTTCATGCTCAATCCGAAATGACTAGGTATAAAATTTTTTTGTTTCATCTCAATTTCTTCTATTATTAATTTAATTTTAGATTTGTCGATGATATGACTTTAACCGATCGTTATTTTCGTCTTTTTTAATTTTCTAATTTTATTTTTCTATTCCATTCATATACATATATATTTTTTTTTTCTCTTCTTTATTTGAATACAAAATAAAGAATTATATTTTAACAATTAAATAAATATTACAATAAATTCAAAATAATGAGATAAATGAATATAATGAGAAAATGAAAAAAAAAATTTTTTTGCACTGTTTGATTTTGTGCACATACGAAAAAAATTGCAGATCAATATAAGAATACATCAATCAAGATAAATTACTAAAAAAAATAAATATCTAAGCTCTGTACAACATATATTCTCAACTTAATTCAAATTATTCATTTCCTGAATCATTTATTAAAAAGGACGCAAAAATGTTAAAATTTTGTTATTTTTTGTTTAAAGTAGAAAATATTGATTGAGTATTAGTATTTAATAATGAAACATCAGGTGTAGTTGGACTAGTTAATTGATTTAATGTTAATGATGTTTTCTGTGAATTACCACGTGTATGTGGAACTAAATTGTTTAATGATATATCTAATTTTCCAGCTGCCGATGACCAAATATTCTAAAAATGAAAATTATCAAAATAGAATTAAATTAAATTAATAATCAGATATATTTTAGTTGTCGTCAAAAAATTTAATCGTACATCTAAACATGAATTTTATTTTTCTAATTCATCCTCATAGTATAGAAGCCTAGTCTCAAGGTTATAATCTGTCCAAATGTAATAGAAGTCAACCCTATCCGATCGAATGCAAAACAATAATGTAAATCATCGAATTTCATTTGTTCTTATTAACAAATAAATGAATTTTTTTTTTCGTGTACGCGCATATTTTAATACTATTCTATTCACAAAATTGAAGTATGGGCCAATTGAAGTTATGCGAAAATTTATCGGACTCAAAAAAAAAAAAACAAGTGCTAGTATCTTTCTTTATACAATGTGATGCATAATCAATCAAGCAATATGACTTTGTCATGAGTTAAAAAGCAAGAAGACAAAAGCGATAATTCATTGTAGGATTTATATTAGAATTCAGTAGGATTTGATTACCAAATAAGAAATTAGAATAACATAAATGAAGAAAAGTATACCTGTTTCTCTGCGATGGTAGACGGTTGTTGTTGAGGAATTGTAATCTATAAAGATTTTTATTTTCTCTTGAATTCTTTGTTTTATTTCTTATTAAAATTAATCATTTATTAGACTTACATTCAATAAATTTATATTTGATTGTTGTTGTTGTTGTTGTTGAACCATTGGTGAATTTGTAGATGATTGTTGTTGATTAGTTAAAAATAGATTTAGTTGAACAGGATTAGTTGATATTTCAAGTGATGCAAATGGATCAAATATTATTGATGACGAAGATTGTGTTGATGTTGGCCAATGTGTTGGTTGAACTCTAAATAATTATATGATTTTTATTTTTTATTTTGAATAAGAATTAAAAATAAAAAGACATACGGAGATGTTGGAGATATTGCTTCTTTAAATTGACCAAATTCAACATTTTGTGAAGCTTGAACATAAGGTGTAAAATCGATATCATTATCTAATAAATTAACAATTGGTTCTTCAGTTGTTGATGATGGTTTTTCATTATTGATGGAAGACTAAATTTAATCAAAAAGATTGTTTTTAGTGTGTTATAGAATCTAATGGTATAACCAGATGAAAGCTCACAAGGGAAGTTCCCTGACTGATGAATCACATTTGAATCGGGTGCCCAGCTTATTCCTGAGTAGATACTACATTTTTTAAAATTTAATGCTATGCTTCTCATCAAGAAAATTGATTTTCAAATTTCGACATAAATCTTTGCACAGAGACTGATTTTAACAAGAATAGTTTACAGTGGAAGTGTCAGATCTTTTCATTGTTCCTTTTCGAAGATATGACGATGGTAAAAGCATATTATTCACATCACTTATATACATCGGCAGATTCGATGTTTTTTATTTTAGGGTAGGAAAAAATCAAAAGACCTGAACTTTTCACAATAAATTATTCTTGTGAAGAAGAGTTTCAAGTCGAAAACCAGTCTTCCTGATGAGGATGACGACATTGACTTAAAAATGCAGTATCTCAGTAATAATAAGCTAAGAACCGGGACTCTTTTCAGGATATTCATAGCTTATTATCATCTACAAGATTTGAATAGTTCCGATTCAACAACGATTGATCAGTTATGAAACTCTCTTTGTCAGTCCGTTCTTAGCTCCCTAAAAAAGTTTGAGTTTCACTTAAGAAAAGGGCTGGTATGTCTTCTAAAAGCACTATCAGACATCTTCTCTCCTTCTATAGATGTAGCCATGGACTCAGCCCACTCTGCAATCTCTTTGTGAAAAACGGTTTAAGATTAATGTTAACCTATAGGAGCAAACATTTGAACTTCCCCTTATCCTTATAGATCATGACAGATGTTAATATATAATCAAAGGCTGCATTTCTGGATGTTTCACATTTTAATCTCGTAGATAGAGCTCGTCGGGCCCGAGTGTGCTAATCACCAAACGCAAAAAGCTGGCAAAAAGAATCTCATATCTTCGGGCCGATTATCGAATTCCGATTGGACTCTATCCGCAAGAATTGCTCTAACTGGGTTACTTGCCCTAGTTACGGCAGTGAATTCTAAAAAGTTGTATCAGCTTGTGCAAACGATTTTAACAATTTTGTTAATGTTAAATTGCTGTCTACATCTGATAAAGAATTTTCTTTTTGATAGTTTGATTAAAGTTTACAATCATGTATTCAATAGGATTATTACTTTAATCTCTATCATAATAAAAGAATAAAAAAAAAAAGAGAAAAATAACTTACTGGCTTTTGTTTTGATGAATTTGTATTACTATCCTAAAAATAAAAAGTTTGTATGATCAAATAAAGAAACGTCAAGTGAATTTCAGTTTCACTTGTGTAGGGTTGAAGATCACAAAAAGGAATTTACTTTTGGCAAAATTAATAACACTACAAACATTTTATCATTTCTAATGTTTTCAAGATTTGCCATAAGGGAAGAAGCTTTTTTTTTATTATTTTCAATTTACCTGTATTTTATTTTGATCTTTTTTTCCTGTTGATTTAAAATTTTGATTATTGTCTTTACTAAAAAAAAAAACAATATTTTGTTAAAATTTGCTCAGATTATAATGAATGGATGAGAAAATGCAATCGTCATATTAACATTCAGATGACGCGCATGAAAAAAATCATCATTGCAAATTTACCTTTTATCGAATGAATTATCTTCAGATATGAAATCTTTTGTTTTTATTTCATCATCATTATTATTCCATCGATCATCTGAATTATCTAAACATTAGTAAAAGATTTCAAAAATAAGAAATAAAAAAGCAAAAAGAGTTTCTTACTATAACGATATGATGATGATTCATTACTCATACCAATATATTTATCTCGATTAGCTCGAGCTTTTTTACGTTCATCTCGAATTCGATCTTCATCTTGAATAAATTCAATTAATTCTTTTACTTTATGACGTACTAGACAAATAAATAAATAAATAAATAAATAAATCAAATTATACAAAAATAAATTATAATTTATTTTACTATTAACTCCTTGATCTTTGCCATGTTCATCATGATAAGAAAAATTTTCTAAACTTCTAAGATCAAAAAGATGTTCATGTGCTGATTTAACCACTTTTTCACTACCATTTTTTATTAAATATGTTAATACAAGAAGTGACTAAAAATAAAAATAATTCAATCTTATCTTTCCTGTATCAAAAGATAATGTTTTATATAGATTTATTATTCCAGAGAGGCGATTTAAAAGTCCGGAAGGATTGACCCGATCTTCGATGTGGCGCCATCCCCACGCTGAATAAAACACTAGACTTAACTTTGCGCTCACCATCTGTCTGTAAATAACAACAAACTCCGAGAGGTAGAGCTTTAATCGCCTGAGAGATGTGTAAAATGCGCTAATGGCGGAGTGCAAAGAACTGAAAGAACGTATCCTCGGAGCGACTATCAAATTCTAATTAGAAAACTTCATTAAAAGTATCAAAGTATAGTTCGATAGGGAAGCGCGACACATCCTCGGTCCTAACCCTGGACAAAACATTGATAGACCTGTTGATGTCTTTTCTGTAAATTTTCGGTCAAACGAATAGTATGTACAGAAAATTCAAATGAAAACATTTTGTTCTTCTTTCTTGAGATATTAAATTTTTAGGGCAATTTCATTATTGTATTCTGTTTCTTATAAGAAATTTTTTTTTCTGCAGACGGCGATAGGCTAATTAGAGAGGAAGAATTGATGGCATATTGCTCACTTATGTAAAAACATGTAAAGAGCCGCTGATATTTTTTGCATTATTCAGACGAATTTACTATTGCTTATCTTGATCGGCAGTCCATCGTCACTATTAAATCCGTAAAATCAACAGATAGTTGATGTTGATTTACAGATCGAAAAGCTTAATATATCGGTGTCGTCAACCGGCCTGAAGCCCTAATTTTTATTTTGCTACTATGAACGAGAGTTGCCAAATCTTTTCCTATCATCACTTCATTAAAGGTACTCTGTATCTAATATGTGAACATACACCAATCCTTACTAAGAAATTATCAGTAATAGAGTTTTATTATCAAGTCGTTAATCAGAAAGTACAACTTATTATGTTATGTATTTACGAATGACATATTTATTCAAGTTCATATTACATAGAACAGAAACAACTTGCGCGTTTTTTTTTAATCTTATGAAAATCATCAATACCTACCAGAGATGTCCATGGTGGCACCGCTGCTACTGTGATGCTAGCATTCGTTTTTGAAAATCACTGCGGCGGCAGGCTCTTTTTAGAAGACATTGCAAAACTTCATGGATTTGCACAGGATTCAAGTATCTATAAGTGTAACACTCAGAGATTAGATGAATCTCATGGGTTCATACCAACAGTCCTAGTTTAGTATAGTGATGGCAGGGATTTTTGAAAACTATTGTGGCAGCGGCAACTTTCTATATAGTTCGCCGCGATGGACATCTATGATACCTAATGTGTAAATACTGGCAAAAATAGCATAGATTTTGAGTCGTTGATTAATATTTTCAAGAGCCGCTCTTGCACTATTAATATTACAATTAAAGTTTTTGTCTTCAGCTGCTAATTCACTCCACCCACTTCCCCAATTAGATTTCTTTCTTAGAATGCCTACGTACTATTCACCAAAATATCCTGTATCAAACTATTTTTAACAAAATGATGATAAGAAAATATTTGGCAACCCTGATTCATATAGAGCTCAAACAATAAGAGGTCATTAGTATTATATACGTACTATAGCCAGTAAAAAAAATCACATCTTTCTGAAGCTACATAAGGAAATAAAAATTGGGGCTTCTGGCTGGCTGACCGCATTCATATTATCAACATTAAAAAAACTTCAGAGCGTAACTGATGATAGCATCGCTAGTTGTTCTTTTTTTTTCAACATTTCAATTTAAATCATTATCGAACTGATTTATTTTGTATACTCTAATAAAACATACTTTATATGTTCGTCTCCAATATTTTTTATCTTGAGTAAAACATCGTTTCCAAAGCATACCCATTAACTAAAATAAATAAAATATAATAAAATCTTTTGAATAATTAATATTACTTCATTATAATGTTCATGTGAATATGATAATTGAGAAAGATCTTGTAATAATTTTCCTGCTGGTCCCCAAGATTCATCATTAGTTGCTTCAACAACTTTAGTTTCAGTTTCTGTATAATTCATAACAATATTTGTTGCTTTATCAAATAATTCTCGAACTACATATGGCATTGTTGGTAAATAACTACTTAGATTAATTTTATTTAAATCCATTGTTTTGTTTCTCTTGGAATTTCTACAATAAAAATATTAAGAAGAATTTAACATAGATAAAGATCAAGGTAAATGAAAATAAATACAATCAAGATTCAAATAACAATGACTATCTTTTGAATGGTTATGTTAAGGTTTATTTAAGACTTCACGATCTTTTTTTTTTCTTAAAACATGAATTTTTATTTTCTTTATTAGAAAAATTAAATTAAATTAAATTATTTAAAATATTAAAAAAGAAACGTATTTTAAAAAAAAGCCTAACTTTTAAGATGTCACTAATTTATTGTCGATACTGGTTCAAATTTATAACCAATTAAAAAAATATTCGATTTTTCATCTGTTTATTTGATTTATCATGAGTATCGATATAAAAGTATGTTACAATTAGGTACAATAATTTCTTTATTTTTTTTGTCAATGGTTTAGGATATATTTAAAAATTTTGATCGTCATTATGGTATTATATATCGTCGTTTAAAAGTCAGGTAGGTAAGTCGAAACATATTTATTGATCTATGCTGATTAGTATTGATTTTTATAGGTTTTGATTTTTTTTTTGTTATAAAAGAAAAACATGTGTTTTGATGGCACATTCAATGGCAGATTTGATAATATTAAATATACGATTGATTATACAACAAGTAAAAGATCGATTTGGAGTATATAAGTTAGTCGATGAAATGAAAATTCTTTTATTATTGAAAGAAATTTTGTTTATTTATTGGTTTTTATTTCTTAATTTTTTTTTTTATTAAGATCTCAACGAATATTTTTTCTATGTATTCTTGTAACTACGGTTCTTTATCTTCTATCGAAATGGATGCCTCCTCGAGTAACCTATAAGACTGGTAAATATTTTAATGATAAAATTTGTTTAGTAATCATCATTATTATTATTTTTTATTGATTTATTAGTTCACTATAATCAATGCCTACAAACAAGATTAGAACAATTTTCTAGTGATGTAGCAGATATGAATGCTATTATTAATCACGAACCAATTCTGTATGGAGAAATCGTTAGTTTACCATTTATAGGTTAGTCTTATGATTAAAATTATATATTGTTTAAACTTATTCGATGAACTTAACCAAGTTCATTTTAGAGATATTACGTTCGTGGATGGTAGCGTAACAACGATTTTAACAGTAGGAAGTTTTCGGCTAACGTCGATCGGTTTGGCCTTGAATCCGAACTCGACCAACTTTAGTCTATTACCCTCGCTAAGTTACGCTATTATTCCTAGGAACTCATAACGCATAAAAGTTTCATAGAAAAAGATAAGCAAAGCTGCACGAACACCTCGATATATTTAAAAAATGTTATAAATGAGCCTATGGGCAGTTCGCTTAAAAGAGAATTGTTTATATTAGAACGGTGTTTTTTTACTTTGAGAGTGGCATGTATCCTGAAGAATATTGAGCCTTTTCTTGAATTCTCATTCCTGGGAATAGACATACAATATCCAAGGTCGATGATTCCACTTGAATCGACCGAAAAGATGCGCGAGAAAACATCATATCCGACAGAGAAACTTCCAAATTTTTTCCAACGATTTATGGCCGTTTCTCGTTCGGAAGAACAGGAAGTTGACCGGAAGTCATTGAAAAAATCCGAGGACTTTCTGGTCTGGAATAATGCTTCCCATTTTCATTGACTTGCGGCTCGGTTCAATCGAAATCGAAATAAACGGAATAGTTGCTGATCAAGAAAAATTTAAGAACATGTGACTAGTATGATTTCAAACTTTGTAACGTCTTCTCTGTTGGATAAATCATGATTCTTAGTAAATTCTTCCATCGATAGAGTTTCATTTGAAGAAAGCCTCGGAAATCTTGTCAAGTCATTCTCCGTCTAATGGTCACTAGAGTGACTAAACAAGAATGTGACTGATCGATCTGTCCGTACTATCGATATATTGGAGACATCAATGGCTCTTCTGAAATTGCTATATGGGATAAAGAGTTAAATACAAATTCGAGTTTCTCTTTTCACATCATAGGTATTCTTTGATTAAAATTTAGTCGTAAGTCAAGAATTTCCTTTTTCCATGATCTAATATGCACATGCAATTAATTATTCTCAGTTTGTCAAAGTCGGCCGCCATGGCTAAGTAGCTACACAGTCTGACACGTATCCACAAGGTACTGTATTACCAGCCATTAACGCCTGTTTGTCTCGAACCAGCTATCATATAGCATACTGACTATATTGTAACATATCTTTTAAACTCATTACTACCTTTGATAGCTTCTTTTAATGAACACAACAAAATAATATATTTTATTTTAGGCAATGGTTATATTGGTTTATCTCTATCAACACGATCTCGTATTCAATTAATATCTGATCCTAGTACTCCTTTTATATCTAGTGGTTATTCTCCTATTATTCAAATTTCATCTAAAATATGGCAAGATTCAAGTTCAACAATTATTCAAATGAATCAAGGTCTTGTTAAACGTTTACAATGTTTTAAAATAAGTGAAGAACGTTCAGCTTATGTAACACATATGTTATATGTACATCGATATCGTCCATCATTAATTATTCAAGAAATTGATATTATAAATCCAAGTGATCAAACATTAGATCTTGATTTTCAACAAAAAACACAAATATCAGGAAATGATATAAAACAACTTGATACACAAGAATTTCAAATTGATTCTTTTAAAGATACATATTTCATAACAACATATCAAATAACAACTCGACAACATAATTCAACTATTTTTGTTATCATAAATAATAAAATTATTTCAAGTGCTCATATTAAACCTGATAGGTACTTTTGAATTTAATTAAATCTTATCTTTCATTTTCTTTTCACTCTTCTATCTATGTTATGTTTTGTTTTTCAGTCAAAATAAACGAACAATTTTAACTGTAATTAAATATTCACCATTTATTCATGTTGATTTATTAGTTAATGAAACATATTCTAAACAATTACAAAATACATTACAAAAACAAGCAAAAGATGATCTAATTGAAGCTTTATCAATATCATTTAAAAAATTATTAAAAGAACATATTGATACATGGTCATCGATATGGCAAAGTGGTTTTTCAATAAGTCGTTCATTAGCACCAACCGTTATGAATGGTGATATTATAAATCGAACAATTTATTATGTTTTATGTTCAACACCTTCACCACTTTATGAATTAAAAAACTTAAATGAAACGAAAAAAAAAGAACTTATTCAAAGTCTTTTTCAAATTGATCGATGTTATGAAAGTCATTCAACATTGTAAGTTAACTTTTCAACGAATTTTAGTTAAATTAACAAACTTTCCAAATAAAAAAAAAAAAACATGATTTTTTTTTCGCAAATGATAATCAAGCATAATAAAATTTTTGGATCCACGACATTTGTTTTCCATTAACAACCAATAAAACTGTTATTGATTACAAATACAATAGATGAATGAAGTAGCGCTTATATCCTTCTGCTAATTTTGTTTTTCTTTTAACCCTTTAAGTACTATGACTCTGCCTTTTTACAAACAGCACATTGTCCTTGATTACTAACAAATGGAAGGTGTGGTTTCTTATTATTTGATATATTAAATGATACTTTCCTTCGTGATGATCTATTCTTTTATTTTTTGTTGGAATCTATGGAAGGTGACGTTGGGTTGTTTTAGTTTGTTCTACTTGAATTGGTGCCGTGGTAATTGATAATAATAAAAAATCAAGATATGTCAAATTAGAATCACTATGATTATTTTTCAGTCTATTCAGAAGAATTACTAGATTCCTACAACTCTAGAAATTATTCATCTTCGAAATCATATTCACTCGAATCAATCATTGTTTTCTTTTCTTTTATTCTTAAATGATTGTTCATGTGTTGTCAATAATATCAATAAACAGTTTTCTATTTTTGAAACACTTGTTAATTACCCGAATATATTTTTCTGATGTAATATTAGCGACTAGAAAAAGCAAGTAAAAATATTATATCTAGAACACCAAAAATCTAGCAAGTTTCAAGTGATAGGTATCAGTCAGAGCTCCGCGGAACAGTGAAAATGTCGTCTCGGTCCCTCCCGCGACTTTTCTCTTTCATATTACTGGTCAATTTGTTTCCAAGATATTCTGATTTGCCAAAAGCTGTCTTGTCGTGACTCTTGGCAGGTCCAATTCGATAGTTTTTTCCTAGTTTTCACTCATACTTGGGTCATCACAGAGTAATCTGAATTAGCGGACAACACTTTTCCGAGTACAGTTATTAAACCTCTATTAAAAGAGCTCCACGGGATCAAAAAAAAATTGATTCGTCCCGCTATGTCTCCGAAAATTTCGTCCCGAGACAGGACTTGTCCCGCATCGCGTAGAGCTCTGATATTAGTAGTGATCAATGACAGGCGACGAACTAGAAATCGTTGAGATTAGAATACATATAACGACACCTGTACAGTATAGATTATGGTATTGCCACTAGCTACGTCAATTCTATGGTGCTACACCTGTCTATTGTTTGATTGAAATCAATTTCATTCAGTTATAACTATGTCTTGGTTTTTAGTTAAATTTTTAAAATGATGTATGGTTGGCCTTTCAGAAATCCATAAAACTTTATTAGTGTTATGATTTATATGTACCAAAGCATCTTCTATATCATACCGAAAACCACATCTACGATTTCTGATAAGATCGACTGGAAAGAAATTCAGTACTGTGAACTGTAAATACCTCGTGCGAAAAAGTATTGTTTGAATAATCATAGAAATGATTATTTATTTTTTATGAGATATCTGTTTTTGTTTTGATAATCGAATGTCATCAAGTTTTAAGTTATACGTTTTCATTGAATCATCTAAACATTCTCATGAAGATAAAAGAAAATTTCCAGATATTATTTCGTTTTTCTAGAATTGGCAATCGATTATGGAAATCACCAGGTGATGATTTAGCTGTTTCTCAATTATCGAATCTTTGGCGTTCAACATTATTAAAAAAAGGTTGTTTAACATTAATGCGTAG